AATAAATAAATAAATAAATAAATAAATAAATAAATAGCCAAACAGTCTAACAACTGTCCCTCTAGCATTCACATTGTACCGTACTGGGTGTTATGAGTCCTTTAGAGATGATTTAAATGTGTATGGCAGGATGAGCATCAGCTCTATGCACAAACTATATCACTTTATGGAAGCGACTAGGGCTCCATGGATTCTGGCATTCACAGAGGGTCTCTGAACCCATTCAATATACATATACCACGGGACAACAGAATTTCCATCTCATTGCCACCTTCAAAGTGAGCTCCCACTGCAGCAAAATCCTCTGGTCTCTCTGAGTATGAATATATCTTCCTGGAACTAAACTTTAGTTTTGTTTGGAGATAAGGTTTTGTTAGGTAGCTCAGGATGGTCCTGATCCTCCTGCCTTAGCCTTCCTAGTGCTCGGATTACAGATCTACATCACCACACATGGCTAAATGTTGCTAACTCTTGGGGTGGATCTCTGAAAAGCCTGTGACTGTGGTGGATGCCCTGAACACGGCTTATGTACTGCCTCTACTGCCACAAGGTAGCACAAACTTAAGGATACAAATCCATCTAAATGTGAACCAATCTGAAAGGAATCAGGAAGGTGAATCACATGGGGGGCAGGGGGTGTTAGGCACTGGAATCCTTCCAGAGGTCAAACAAATTGGCTCCTTATTTATCTTCAGTAACCCTCCCTCCTACTACTTCTCTGCTCAAGTGGAGTGATGATGGGGGCTGGGATGAGGCTCACACTAAAATGCTGGCCTACCAGCTCCAAGGCTCTGGCTTCCATCTCTAGCACCAAAACAGAACAACAGAAGAAACTGTCCAATGTATGTAATACTTTCTTTCTACTGCATTAGTTCCTGTCTCCTCCCCTCTCCCCTCTCCCCTCTCCCTCTCCCTCCCTCTCTCTCTCTCTCTTTCTCTCTCTCTCTCTCTAGTATATATGTGCTTTGCCTGCTTATCTGTATGCACAGGTGCCCACAGGGGCCAGAAGAGTGTGTCTGATCCCCTGAAACTGAAATCACATGTGGTTGTGAGCTGCCAGATGTGGATGCTGGGAATTGATCAAACTCAGGTCCTCACAAGAGCAGCAAATACTCTTAACTGCTGAACTGTCTCTCCACCCCCATATCTAGTCTTGGTATTCAGAAAGCTCTTATCCCTATAAAGCCAGAGATAGCCACAGTGGCTACAGTGACTGTAACCCCCGCTCTTTCAGCCCATAGTGAAAGAACAATTCAGTATTTATGGATCCCATGTTAAACATAAAGTATTTTCATTGTTCAAATGAAAATTGCATGCAATATGGAGACATAACAATGTATTCCTTTATGTTCTGAGTTGCTGCACAGTGGACAAATAGCCAAGGTGGTGGTCCTCCAGTGTCCCTATGGAAAGGTCAAATGAAAGGCTATCTCTAGGACCCTCCAACAAAGGGCAGCAATTCCGAGGTGACAGAACTAGGTCATGCTTTTTCTCCATCATTAAGTAGGTAGACGGTTGCCTCTACAGACTCAGAAAAGGTAGCTGAATATAGTGACTCCCCCACAGAAGAATGCTTTCCAAGAAGGCAGGCTCAGAGTTCTGGCTCTGAATCAAATGGAAAAGAGTAGGCAGGACACACTCCAGGCTTGTAGGTATAAGACCCCACATCAATAGGGTGCACAAAGCACATCACACAGGGTCTAGAACCTACATGGGGAGGCCCTGCTCACTCTCTGCTGCGAAAAATCATTCCTCAGCCCCCCTCCCAACCCAGGCATTGAAGACACGCCATCTGGGCATTGCTTTTAGGAAGGACTCAGCCATAGGGGACAAAACATTACCTGAGTATTCCAGATATGGACACACTTGTCAAAGGACCCGCTGGCCAAATATTTCCCATCAGGGCTGAAAGCTACACTGTAGACAGGCTCCTGGTGCTTGGTCAATGTATGGATGCAAACACCTCGCTCCACATCCCACAGTCGAACTGTAGAGTCAAACGAAGCACTAGGGAGATGGCAGGGAAAACAGCCACATCAACAGGTTGGTTTTAAAGTCTATAACACGTCTCATAGGAACTGTCTTTTACAGTTACAGTTGAAACATGCCTGAATTTGTTTCAAGAGTCAGTATCCTGGTGAGTCTTTTCTCTCCAGAAGTATGCAAATAAAGCTGCAGTCAGCCAGAACCCGGGGCCTTGCACAAGCCAGGCAAGAGCTCTTCCACTCAGCCACCGGCCTCATTTCTCTCTCCCTTTCCTATAGCTACGGACGGTAAATGCTTTTGTGGAGTATTCCACAAATTTTCTGAAATATCACTGTTGTTTACAATACACCTATTTTAACAAGTAAACATATCTATCTATAATTGGAAAAAAATCAAATTGCTTGAAGACAAACTTAAAAAAGAAATTCTAAGGCCACATGAATTAAATCGCAATCATATATGCAGTTGCACTGGCAAAGCCTACGAAGTTGAGCTATTTTCTGGTGTAAAAGGACAGCACATTATCCCAGAGCTGTCACCTAGTTTTCTCTATCTCCACAGGGCAGCAGTGAGGCCCAGTGTCCTTTTGTACTTGCTGAGTAAGGGGATAACAATATATGTTTGCTCCTAATGGGTACCACATCATACCAACAAGCATCTCCCTTAGTCATCAAAAATAGCACTTCATCACTGTAGTTTAAGTGCATGTTTGGATGATTATTAAAATAAGAGAGTTATAGCCTTGAATTCTATTTCAACCACCCATTGCATGTATGAACTCTCCCGAGTCTTTTCTTTGTGTGTGTGTGTGCTCATTTTTTTGTTTTCTTGGTGGTAGAGATATGCATTTCAGGCAAGAGCTCTATCACTGAGGTACACCCCAGAACTGAGAGAGCCTTGAGTTGGGCACATCCCACAATGCTGTTTCTCACTGCCTTGTGAGGCTGCCCTCCCTTACCACTTGGTGCTTCCTTCTTTATAGGAGAACTGAACCTATCCTCCACCATCCTTAGGAACAACACAATCTGCTGCTGCTTCCTGGAAACCCAACATTCCTGCTGGGTCTGGCCTTATCCACACTAAAAAATATTCACAGACCAGGGATTCAAACCCCAAAGATCCATATGGTTTCTAGACATTTCTAAAAGTCCTGTATTCTGCATCAGAATCTCCTTAGCCCATCCTTCTAAACGTTCTTATTAAACCACCAGTAGTAGGCCTGAGGTCTGCTCATGGTAAAGCACTTGCCCAACAGGCACAAACCCATAGGGAAAGTTCCAGCCATACCTCCAGAAAAACCAAGAATGGACTGATATATTTCTTCGACACACATACATCTGGACAGATCATTTCTGTTGCCTAAAGCCCAAAGCAATATGATCAGGACGAGACACCTCTGGCCCTTTTGTTCTGAAGACTGGCTACCCCATTCTTAGGTGAATCGTGTATCCTTTGGCTGAGGCAGGAAATTCTTTCTCTTTACTCAAAATCTCACCCCCACAGACTTGGCGGAGGTCCACAAACCAAGTCCAAGGTTCAAGCTAAACTCTAGTTTCCTTTCGCCCAACTGCTGATCAAAAAATCACTAACAAAAACAAACTGTATTTTGGCCAGGTGTGGTAGTAAGTCAGCCTACTCTACACAGTGAGTTCCAAGCCAGCCAGGGTTATATAGTGAGCCCCGTCTCAAAACAATAACAGCCAAAGCTGCCTGTGTACTGAACAGGCAGAGACCTTTTTCTTGTCTTCATTCCCTAAACAACATGATCTAAGAACTATGTCTACCGCTTTTTCAGTGTATAGATATTCCAGGTCATTTTGGAGATGATTTACAGTACACAGGAGGGTGTGCAGAGGTTGTAGACAAAAGGAATTAAGTGTCTACAGATTCTGGTACCCATAGTATCCATTTCTCAGGGATACTCGGGTCTCTCGAAGAGACAGGGCTGTAAGGCTGCCTTCCCTTACCTTGCTAACATGATGCTGGAGTTTGGATTGCTGGTGGCTGGTCCCGTGGGACTCCACTTGATGGTGTATATCTCTTTGCTGTGAGCTTGAAGGTCGTGGACACACGTGTCCTGCTTCATACTCCAGATCTGCAAGAGGCATTGGCAACAGTGTGAGCTAACGCTGTCCCATCCCAAACTGAGAATGGGAATGCTCCTGAGGTGGTGGGTATGAGAGAAGCTCACAAGCCAGCAGGGGGCCCATCAGGCACATCAGCAGGTGGCTGTGCAGGCAGTACCAGAACAGTGAGTTGAGCCTGATCAGTCTATAGGGATGCTGGAAAATGGGCCATGGGAAGGCTGGGCCTCTCAGCAGGACCCATGCCTGATAAACCAGAGTTCATTTGAAAGCATTAATCATTTAATTTGGCAATAAGGAAAGACATGGAGAAAAGAAGATATCAAAATAATGATGCACGTAATCAGGGTGGGAAGGGCTCTGTGCAGTACAGGGGTCTATGTATGATTAAGTGGCCCATCCCTTCAGGCATCACCTTTACCTTTAATGTCATGTCATCAGAACAGGAGGCTAGCAACATTCCAGAAGGATCCCACTTGATGGCATTGACCTCATTCTGCAAGAGAGCACAAGGCTTCAGAAAGGAACCAGAGCCTTTGTGAAGGTAAGGCTGCTATCCACCAGGTGGCAGTAGTGCACCGTCAGCGCGCTTCACAGCCTGCATATCAAAGAATGAGGCACAAGAACTTGCACACGTTTATGCTTTCCTCACTTTGCTTTTCATTTATGAGAAACTACAACCATACAGTACACAGGATCGGCTACACTCTCATTAATATTTCTCGAAGGAAAAAATCCTCACCAGGAAGGAAACCAAATGAATTCACATATAAGCAGAGTTAATAAAAGCAGTTATTCTTATTATTGTTTGAGACAGGGTCTTGTTATGTAGCACAGGCTACCCTTATGTATCTCAAAACAGCCTGAAATTCATCATTCTCCTACCTTGGCCTACTGAGTATAAGAACCACAGGGATGTGCCACTAGGTATGGCTAAAACCAGTTGTTTTTAAAGGTGGACTTTGACCATCACTTTCCTACGCACTTTTAGTATGAGTGCTCCTCCCTCTGCGTCACTGTGTTTTATCTGTAACTTGATAGGCAGAAGGTAAAGATAGAGAAATGTTTAGGTAGAGCAAGAGCTGAGCCAGGTAGAAGCCCCAGTGACCCGAAGGCACAAACACAGGAAATACAGATGTGAAGGGAAACTACGTAGACAGGGGGACCATGATTAGAAAACACAGAGAAAGAAAATCCTCTACTGGACTTGCAACCCAGCACAATCAGCCAAGTCCACGGGTAGCAAGCTGACAGTTTTGACAGGCAGGCTCAGGGGGCCACACAGGGCAGACAGCAAGGAAGCCGCAGGCCCCAAGGCTGGAGGAGAAAGGCTCCTAGTGGGCAATGGAAAAGAAGACGTGTTTACACAGGGCCACCAGCAGCTCAGACCTGTGGGAAGGGACAGTGTGCAGAGCAAGGACATGGACGGAAGGGGAGACACACTGTCTAGTGGCTTCCTTGAAAGGGGCCTAGGGAACCTGAACGCCTGCTCTACCATGCCAGCCGTCTTGGCCTAACAAATGACCTGACTTTCGAGGTTATTTTCTAAATAAATTCACCCTTCTAAATTGCTGGGGTCTTGAAGATCTGTCATGTGGTCGGGCTCCTTTGTACAGATGCGAGTTTTGAAGGGTGTGAAATGCACTAGTGACAAGGCTGCAGCTGCACTCTGTATGGCAGGGATGCTGGGAAAGGGAGAAAGCCTGGAATCTACTGAGCAGGCTTCTCTGTAACCAGATGAAGGAGGTGAGGAGGGGTGAGATTGCAGAGGGGTGGGACAGGGCAAGTGCCTATCTGTGACATAAGTGTGTACAGGGCCATGTGTCGGTCTCCACCTGCAGCTATGGAGAGTACTCAAAGGCAGACCTGTCAAGGGCAATGGAGAACTAGGCCCCAAGTCCTATCCCAGCAGGCTCATCTGCAATTCCCCGTACAGGCACAAACTCCTTCCTGGGAGCAGAGCTTCTTCTTTGTCTCTCTGTGCCTCAAGTCTTACATCCAGGGAAGCATCCAGAGCCCCCTCACGGGTCTCAGAATGAAGCAGGCTCAGGCCATTTAGGTGGATGTCTGCTCAGAGTGATCAGCAGTACTAAGAAACATTTATGGAGCCAAGTGGCATGGCGTGATGGATGCGAAGTCTCAGGAGGAGCAACAGAAATCACAATGTGCAGCCAGCCCTACTGAAAGCTGGGGTGGGGTGGCGGAGCTTGTATTAGAAAACAGAACAGAAAAACAAAGAGAGGGTGGGCATCTAGGTATGCCAAGGGGTTCCCAGATCCACTGACAGCACAGTTAGATTAATCCAATCACACAGGGTAGTCACAATGCCTCTCCTCAGCGGAGTGCTATAGATCAATGGGTCTGTCCACAGGTCTGCCGTCACGCGGCTCCCTCAAATCATTCTCACAACCACAACCCTGAGCACTGGAGCCTCCACTTACCGTGTGTCCTTGGAAGGTTTTGACTGGGCGGTCACAGCCGAGTCTACACACGTGAATGCACATGTCTGTGCTGCACGAGGCAAAGGTAGTGTTGTTCTGCCAGTCCACATCAAGGGCTGGGGCTGTGGGACAGCAGGAGAGGGGGAGGGCATTTCCATTTATTAACTGTGCACAGAGCTCAGTGATTTAGACAAAAACATCACCAAGGAGTCTTAGCTAGCAACACCATGAAAACTGTCCCCACTGTCAAAAAGACTCCCTCCTTCCACTTTCAGGGACAAGATGCCTCTGGAGACAGAGAGATTCCAAGAAATGGAAGAGCCCTCAGGGATGGGCCCAACTATGTGTAAAATGGAGATTCAGGTATTGCCCTTCCAAGGTTACTTCAGTGTGTTTCACGATAGCCCCAAGGTTCTTGGCACATGTCATTGTTGTTGCACATCACACGAGCTGAAATAAATAAAAAAATCTCCTGGGGCCACCTCTGCATCCCCCTCAAACAACAGCAAACCCACCTGAATGAAAAGGAAACTGTTGTTTGGCTTCTCCTGTGTGCGCGTCCCAAATGATTGTTGTCTGTGCTCCGCAAACAGAGGAAAAAGTTAGTAACTGTGCTTCTCAACAATTATCTAGCAGAATGTCTTGTACCAGGACAGACAGTCAGCCCATCTTCCAAGAAATTAATATAATATTTTATTTTACAGGTATACAGTCAAAATATTTTTGTGTGTGCAAGTAATCTCAATAAAAATATTAATGTGACATTTGTCATTTCATCTTCTGTCTTAGGTCTCTGATGTACAGAGCAGATTTCATACTTAACAATCTGGATGCCACAGTAATAACAGCATCAGCTATGCATACTAGCTGACGGCTACACTATGTGGGACATAGCCACCTTAACTGATATACTTGGGAAATCTACCAAGTTTGGTAGAGAGTCCCCCTCAGCTTCCCAAACCTAGAAAATTGATAAGAAAGCATATCTACATGGCTTCAGGACATTTTTTCAAAGGAAGAGTGGCAGAAACGAGCACTTCCAAGAATATCCCTGTCATTCGACGAATTGTGGGAACAGGTAGGTAAACTAAATATCAAAAATACAAAACAAGCAAATGAAATTGGAAATCAGTTCATGAGCTTCAGCGGTGGTTGCCCTTGTATGGGGTCTTCAAAAATTCTGCCATCTACAGTGGGAAGGAGTGGTTCATCGGCTGAAGAAAGGTACAGCCAGGGGAAGGGCAGTTTGTGCTACTAAAGTGCTCAGTGGATGAAAATTAATGCAGATATACCCCACATCAGTATGCTGTTTCCTGCACTGATAAACTCCACTTGGAGATTTTCCTGTTTCCATCACTGAATCCTCTGCATAAAACTCCACAGAATGGTAAAATGTGTTATGACATGATGCCTTGTTCAAAGTCAATAGTAACATAAAGCCAGAAAAACAAACAGAGCCTAAATGAATTCTTTTGATGTCTTAAAGAGAAACATAGAATCTAAGAATTCAAAGAAGCCACGAGGGTAAATGTAAATCACCATCTATGATGAGAGGGAGGTATTAGAAGCTGGCACTCACCTTGTCTACACCAGCACTCAAAATGTAATTCCCCTTTTTGTTCCACTTCAAGGCAAAGATGGGGCCTTTATGTTGACCTAAGGTGCTGGCTAGGTTACCTGTGACAGGAAAACACAAACATGGGGACTTCAAAGTCACCAACTGTTCACGCCAAATCCTTCTCACATGCCCCACAGGAAGAGTGTAGGACGTACCATCTTCTGTCCATATTCTTGCAAAACCATCATAAGAACCTGTAGCCAACAGTGTCCCATCACTCTGGGGGACAGAAAAAGACAGAACACGTTAGCACCTGGATGCTTTCTTGGGGCTGCTTCCTACTGTGAGCTCTGTAATGGAGACGTCTGCTCGCTGAGGCAACATGCGCTCATGATGATGGGAATTGGCTTCCAACCCCTAGCTTGCTGTCTGCCCACCAGGACCTGGTTACCAGCCAAATGGAGGCCACTGTACCAGCAGCCCAGGGTGGCAGCTAAGACTGGGTATCTCTTATGTCTGCATGGCCTTCAACAGGTGGGCAATTGTGTAGTCATCAGGATACATGGATGGCATAAGTCACTTACATTCCAGTCTAGCGAGGTGACGTCCTTATTGCTGGGGACATCGTGTCCCCCTTCGCGTATGCAGTGCCTCAGCACCAGCTGTGTGGAACCCCCGTTGCTGTTCTCATTAAGGTTCCATATCCTTGCAGTGGAGTCTCCAGATCTGTAGAACCAACAGGAAGGAACATCTGTCTCTGCTTCCTTGGAAAATGCCCACATCTACTGACAGATCCTGGCTAGGTCCCACATCTTTAACCTGCAGTCTGTCTTTTCCATCCTTCTTGCCCAGTTTCCTTCTTCATCCTCCTTCTGCTTACTGGCTAGAAATGATGTCTGCCTTGCTTCCCACCCCAGAGAAATGGCTTGGACCAATGCTTGTTCCCTATGGTACATGATGGACAGAGCAGCAGAGCACAGAGCATCCAGTTTGTCAGTCTGCACACACTGGGAACATGTGACACACAGAAGTGCGTTCCTCGAGGCAGCAGTCCAGGAAGAGCGAGCCCTTCACATCCTCCAGATCCCAGAGCATCCTTTTCCCAAAATTCTTACCCAGAAGCAAGTAGGTCACTAACAGGATTCCAGGCACAAATGAACACCTCAGACTCATGGCCTCGAAGGACTGTGGCTTTGCTGGATGGAATTTCAACATCCCCATCTATTTCCATTGGTTTTGAATGATTATCTGTCATAGGAAACATGAAAACACGCATGACTCACCAACACATAAAAAAAGGTGTCCATAAGTACTGTTGTTTTAGAACACTTTGAGTACTAAAGTCTTGCAACATGTGGCGACTGTGAAACTGGGCTTTTTTTGTGGTGTACTACACATTTTGCATTTCTATTTTGACAGTGACATGCTGTAGATGTGGTCTATCCCTGAAAGGTTCCTGTGTTAGAAGCTCAGTGCCCAGATGTGGTCATGCTAGGTAAGAGGTGGTGCCTAAAGGGAGGTCATTGCCAGTCAACCCCTTCTGGTCTGCTCTGGCTTCCTGTCTCCCATGATGCCTCGCTCATGTATTTCCACCTCAGTATCCACTATGGTGGAATGCAGTCACAGGGGCCTCATCAGAAGCAGCACTATTCTGTTCACATTTATTTTCAGCCTCTAAAACAATGAGGTAAGTATCTTTTCTCTATGATGTACTCAACCTCAAGACCTTTGTTATAGTGACACAAAATAGTTTCATATTTGTTTCAGGGATAAAAACATATAAGTAGGGTTAGCCAAGCATGGCCTGAGGGCCAGATTTATCTCATTACTATCTATTTCTGTAAAGTTTGATTGCCATAGCCATGCCTACGTGTATACATTTTCTGTGAGCTGAAATAAGTATTTTATCATTATAAGCTAGTTGCCACCAGTATATCGTCACAGAAGCAAACAGTTAACAGAGAGCCACTCTCAAGAGAACCATGCAAGAGAGTTATGAGATGGCTCAGTAGGTCATTAGTGCTTGCCACATAAGCCTGATGACCTGAGTTCAATCCCCAGAACCCTCAGAAGAAGAAAAAAACCACCTCATGAAGGCTATTCTCTGACCACCACATGTGCATGGTGGCACCCACACACCTTCCCCGCAATAATAAATAAAATATGAGAATAGGGAGGGTGCATATGGAGAGAGACCACCATGCTGGAATATGACAATTTTCCTCCTGAGTAGCAGGAAAAGAAAGACTTCTGAAGGTCAGAATAAAATCTGACTTTGGGTTTGGACACAGCCTTCTGAGCCATCATAGCAGCAGAAGGAAAAAGCTACCCTGCAACAAGACAGGAGCTGAGCATGAATGCCAGGGTTGGCACCCAGGTGCACCAGGCCCAAGGAACACAGTGCAAGTCATACACCTCCAAGGAGGAGGTGGCAGCAGGGATAAGACTTGAGGAGCTACCATGGCAATCAGTCAAGCTGCAGGTGCCACTAGAAGAAACCCCCTCTGTGCACGAGCTGCCAGTGTGCTTTAAGCATGCATTGGCCTCTGCTTTGTCCAGGTTTATGGCTGATGTGAACATCCCCTTACAACTGCCTTGGCTCTAGAATGAAATACTCTTCGGCAACTACCCAATAGAAGCTAAACTTCTGAAGTTTGGCAAACACCAAGCAATGCCCGACATCTGGGTTTGTAAGCTTGACTATCATAGTACAACTTATCTGCAGACCCTCAGCATAGGAAATGGGATGCTAGGATTAAAGGCTGCCAGACATGGCACTCTTTTATTCGGTGAAAGGCTTACAGCTTCCCCTTGGGGCAAGGGAAGCAAGATTTCCTATAAGTGAGGAGCGTGAGTGATGTGAGAGAAGCTATGGAAAAGGGAGCTCTTCTGGCTACACTGGATGCAAAGTGAAAAGGCAACTTCACAGACTGACAGCAGGTAATTCTTTCAGCAGTTCTTTAACAGATCCAAGGGAGAAGAAACCCCCAAACCAAAAAGCAAACATGCCACTAGAAGACCAGGGAAATCTGCACTTACTTATTGCATGGGCTCCATTCTCTTCCCCGTTCAGGGCGGCCTCTCCATTCTTTGGTGGATTTTGCTGGGACGCAGTTGCTGTGGAGGCTGCTGTGGTTGTGGCTGCTGTTGCCGCAGCTGCAGCGGCTGCATTTGCTTGTTGCTGGGCGAGCTTCTCCCGGAAGGCCTGCTGCCGTGTCTGGACCACATCGGGCATCACAGCATCAATAAGTGACAGGGACTCGATGGGGCGGCCATCAAATACCGTCCCATCCTGGGAAAGTAAGACAAGGGAAAACCATCAACTCCCATGGACCAGGATGGAGGGGGAAGCTGGCATAGACCAGTAATGAAGTGTGAAGGATTCCCTGGTAGGATGTGGGTGGAGGGGTACAAGGAAGTAGATGAGGAGGACCATTCATAAAGAACTAGGAGTGAGGATCATCCTTAGTGGAGACCTGACATTCGGTAACTATCAACACAAATTTGGGCCTCAAGGGCATCTGAATGGGTCTACTTTATGTCTACAAAATCTGCCAGTGCTGAGGTAGTGACTAACCAACCAGTAGGATATGCTTGCCTCGTTGAAAGACTGTGCTCAGTGTGAAGAGCCATTTCTGTTGTCAACTCCGGGAAGGTGGAGTTGGACTGCTGTCTAGTGGACGGAAGCCGACTGACTGTGCTGCTCACCATCCTCCACTGCATTACCCAGCCACAAAGGTGGAGTGCTGAGACAAACCTGTCTGGACACGACCACCGCAGTGGGCACCCTCTACGATAGCCACCATTGACAGTGGAGGGGTAACCCTCAAGAAGAATGAACGCAGCAGATATGAGTGCACCATTCAGAACTTGACTCCTGGTAGCTCTATCTGACTTAAGAAAACACTCTTTGTGTTCTAAAATGACTCCATGGGCTCAGTGTCAAAATGAAACACAGTCACTAACAGGCAACAGGATCACCTGATTCTTTTTTGATCATTCTTTGCCTGGTTTCCATCTACCATGAAAACATGTCCACATATCCTTAAAAACACAGGCGGAAGTTCCTTCCTCAGTAAGCACTCCAAATACTTCAATCATGAGAATCTCAACTTGCTTCCAGAGTGTCTGCCAGACTGAAAAAACACCATGTTTGCATATGCTCTGAACATGAATTACCCCAGAAACAGGGACAAACTGAAAGCACAAGTTTCAGCTGAATACTACCTAAACATGTCACACCAGATGATTTTTTAAAATTACAATTCAACATGAGAAATAAGAAAAATATAATACATAGCAAACAATGCCACACGAGCCAGGTGACACTGGATTCCTGCCACAGAGTGGCCGAGGCTGCCTAGTCTTGGTCTTTCCATGTCACTGTCCTCTTTCTCTGAGTGCCCAGATGAAACAGGTGATTGTGTCACAAAACATGGTCATTGCCAACACATTAAAAATCACTGCCTCATTTAAACTGTGTGATTTCTTTTTTAATGCCTGGAAACTTGTGACAAACAAGATGGTGGTTAACTTACTCCAAGGCACACAAAGGTCTCCTGGAAAATGGAAGAAATAGAAATCAGATGTTATTTTTGTGTTCTGATGGGTAATAAAATTAAAGAAAATACAGCATGAAAGAGTCTGAGCAAGAAAGGATTCTAGGGGTGTGACCAGTTTAGGGGAAGAAGGGGTAGAGAAAAGGTATGGGGGGGAGAGGGTCAACCAAAACTAAATATGTACAAAAAGGCAGTCAGGAAGCCCGTTACTTTGTTCATCTACAAGCTAACTTTTTAACAGGTTTGAATAGAGGTGACCAGTTTAGGGGAAGAAGGGGTAGAGAAAAGGTATGGGGGGGGAGAGGGTCAACCAAAACTAAATATGTACAAAAAGGCAGTCAGGAAGCCCGTTACTTTGTTCATCTACAAGCTAACTTTTTAACAGGTTTGAATAGAGGTACTCTGCACAATGGATAAAGCTACTCTCAGAAGCCACAGGTTATTATATAAATATCTCAGTGCCAGGAGGTGGGCTAACTCTCCTTAAGTTGGTGGTCAGGGGGACCCCTGAAGCCCCCAAAATAATATAGGCCATTGCCATTACTGTTGGTTTCCCACCAGAACAAGACGCTGTTGCTGAAGATGCCACATTCTTTACTTACAGGACACGAATCAAGCTGGAAGTGAGCTGGAAGCAGGGGAACTAACTGTTTTCTGTTCAACTTCAGGCCCACTCCACAGGAAGGAATTCACATCTGATACTATAAACATAGGCAAAAGCCTATGGCTGGGGAGGCTCTAATGGGGAAGCTACTGCTATTGTTTTGGTAACTGAACATGATGTGTTTGTCAAGTTAGCATCTAAGTATTTGTGTTTAGGCCCATAGATTAGTGCTGCTGCTAGCTTTACTCAGAGAAGACTCATTCTGCAGTGCACTGTACTCACCACAAAGACTCATAACTGGTGAATATGCTAACAATAAATGACCAGTGTATGCTTGGCTCTAAAGGACACATCTATATTACTTGGTACAAGACACAGTCAACAAATGAGGTAGGGGAGGAAAATATAAGAGTCTGAGGAGGGATGGAATATTACGGAATGCAGTCTTCTACACATGACACGGCTGCTAAACTCCTGAGCTGTCAGCTGCCGGGATTATCTGCACAAGACAGGGACAAGCTTTGATCTGTCAATATTCCATCATAGTAGGGAGGGGCTCATGAGGTCTCACTCCTCACTTATGATCTATGGGCTGGTAATGTTTCCATGCCCTAATAAGTAATTCTAATTAAACTAACTGGTTCACCAAAAGAAAAAAAAAGATAGGAAAGTGGAAGGGAGAGTGGTTGGGAAGGGGAAGGTTTTGATTAGCGAGAATGGGGGGGGGAGACAAAAGAGGGTAAAGGGAGCTAACTATGAACAAAGCACAATTGTGCACGTGTAAAAACATGTCATAATGAAACCCATTATTGTGTATGACTGATGTATGTTCATTTAAAAAAACACATTTTTTACAAAAGAGGAAACAGCATGAAATAGTAGAAGTATGGAAAGTTTCTAGTCATGGAACCAGTTTGAGATGCATGGGATGAGGAGAGAGCACAGGCAAGTCTGGGGTGGACTTGTGGGCTTCGATCATGGTTGGAGGAAGGGGGGAACATGGGGCCTGGGAAATGTAAAATTAACAACCAGGACTCGGGAGGAGTTAGTGAGAGACTGAGTAGCTCAGGAAGCCCAGGGGTTCTCTGAAGAATCCTAAGGGTACTGCAGAGGAAGTCAGGGGACCTGCTCAGAACCCAAACAACCAATTATCAGACTTGGCATAAAATCAGCACAGGTACATTCTCACTGTGCCCCCATCTAGAAGCTGGCAGTGGAGACAAGATGACCGGCAGGAGCTTTATGTTACTTATTGCTCCCCTTCTTTGTCCCTGTCCTCTCTACAAATAAAAAGCTTCAGCTCACACCCTCTTCCACACAAGGCTCATCCCCTCTATATTCCAAATCTCCACCTAGTTATGCCCTCTGTCGGTTCCACACAAAATATTCTCCTTGAGCATGCAGGAAACTCCCTCTTGGTCTAATCTGCTCTGGGAGTCAAAGGAGAGCATGCCTGCACAGGCAAAGTGTGGATGCAGAGTGGCTGAAAGTGTAGTCCTCGGCCAACACACTGCAATTCTGAAAACCCACACAAGATGGCACTCAAAGCTTGCTGTTGGTGTACTGACATGCCTGTCGCTGCCACTTTTTCCCAGGTGCCAGAGAGAAATACATGCCAGACTCTGACTTGTGCTGTGGGATCATACACATTCCCCAGGGCTCTGCTACCACACGGTAAGCAGGAGCCCTGCAGTACTCTCTGGGGTGGACATACCTCATTGATGCTGATCTCAGCCTCCACATACTGCAGTCCTTTCTGAAGGATGGAGATGAGGGCAGCCGGTGGCACGAGTGTTCCATTGATGTTGGACTGGCTGATGTGGCTCTCGATCCCAAAAGTGAAGGCGGAGTGGGAAAAACCTGTCAGAAGAGGAAAGCAGAGCTGGGTGACAGACTAGTGGGGAGAGAGGTGTCAAAGGGCTAAGGGAAGACTGCAGAATGGAAGCTCAGCTTCTGATCTGGGATTGAGCAGGCAGGAAGGAAACAAGAAACAAGCAAGGAGGGCTGGTCTTTCCTTAAGGGATTGATGCTAGATACGCTGAACATGCTGCAGTGGACGGCTCACATCAGGGGACACCTGGGAACACAAACTTGATCCGATAGGCCTTAACATATATGACAGAATGCATGAAGTCTGGTAGGGGGCTATGGGGGAGGATGCAGATAAGGGAGGAGGTCTAAATATGATCGAGATATATTGTACAAAATGCACAAAAATTTAATTGTGTGTGTGTGTGCAAAAAAAAAGTAAATGTCCTTTGGTAGCAAAGTCTTTTCGGCATTACAGGTGTGCCTCGAGTAACAAAGAGGCCAAGGGCATATCCTGATAAATCTGTCACAAGTTGAAAATGCATTTAATACATGTGGTGTAGTAGTTTGAATACAAAACTATCTGCCACGGGCTCATACATTGAGGGCCTAGCCCCCAGTTGGTGGTGCTGTTGTGAGCTGTTTGAATCATCAGGATGCTACTCTCACCAATGGATTCATAGCTGGATAGGATTATTAGGGGGCAAGGCCTCGCTGAGGAAGTAGATCACTGGGGATCTACACAGGCCTTTGGAAGGTACAGCTCTTCCCTGAACCTCTCTTCCTCTACCCCTCTACTTTCTGGCTTCCACCAAGTGAGCAGCTTTCTATGCCACATGCCACTACCACCATGATGTCCTGCCTCCCCACAGGCTCATAGCAATGGAGACAACTGAGCCATCTAAAATTATCAGCCAAAATAAATCCTTCCTCCCATTTACCTCAGGTATTTTATCACCTGAAAAGGCTAATGTAACAGCTAACGTGTCCAACACCACAGCTGACCCTAGCCTCCTTCAAAGAGGCTTAGAATGCCTACATTAGCCTATGGTTCTGGACAATCATCTAGCACAGCATTTTTAAAATAAAGGCTAAAGTATCACACATACATACATGGAACTATAGTTTAGACCTGAAATTTCACCCAATATCTTTGTTTAATTAGAGGCACTTACTGTTTCTTCAGCGTACCACTTGATACTGCACCAGTATGCCATTTCTCTTTAGTTCAGTTTAGTTTATGTGACATATACTAAAACAGAAGATTTCAAACACTTGTCCCTGGGCTATGTAAAATACTGTATGTTCAATGATATTGATACTACTATGGAGTTCTGGGGTGGTTTTTATTGGGGGGGGGCAATAGTCCAGGCTGGCCTCAAACTCATGTTCTTGTAACCTCTGCCTCCCAAATCCCAGCATTATAGGCACGACATGAGTTTCCTAGTGGCCAACAGAAGTTGGGGGCCCAGGGTTCTGCTCACACCGCCTTTGCTGACTTCTCCCTGAGTGCTTCCAGGAAAGCAGCTCCCCCGACCTTCCAACCCAAAGGGGCCTTGCACGCAGTCGCCTCATCCCAAGTCGCTCACTGGCCCGGGAGGAAGTTGCACCCTGAGTTTATAGTTAGAGCCTAATTTTTTAAATATTTTTTAATTTTATGTGTATGAGTGTATTGCCTGCATGTAGATAAGTGCACCCGTGTCGTGCAATGCCCATGGAGGACAGAAGAGGCTGTCAGGTCCCCTGGAACTGGAGTTACGGACAGTTGTTAGCTGCCATGTGGGTGCTGGGATTTGAACCCGGGGAAACTGCAAGAACAACCAGTGTTCTTAAAAGCTAAGCCATTTCTCTGGCCCCGCAACCCTATTTTAATGAGATCCTTCTGTATTTCTTTGGTTGCCATCAAAAGCAGTTCCATAGTTCCCACTGGGAAAAGCAAGGATGAGACGGTCTCATCCTTCAGTGCTTGACCACTCTCCTCCAGCTTCGAATCCTTCCCAGTTTGGATAATAACTGGATACTGGGAAATAGTGCGACAAATACAAAACTAGAGGTTGGTAATAAAAATCACAAAAAAAACAGTTAATGTGGAGCTGGTAAGGTGACTCAGCAGGTAAAGGCATTCGCCACCAAGCCTGACCACCTGAGTTCCAGTTTTGACACCCAAAAGGTACTTGTCTCTCCCCCAACTGATGGTGCTGCTGAGAGAGATAGTGAAAACTGAGCGTGTTCCAACATTTCAGCTTGGGGGAAGGGGCACTAGCTAGAGGAAGAGGACCGCTGTCAGTGGGCAAGGTTGTATATACCTGCGATCCCAGCACTCAAGAACAGAGGCACAATCCAGAGTTGGGAGTCCAGCCTGGGCTGCAGAGCGAGATCCTGACACAAGAACAAACAAACTAAAATTCAAGCACAGCATGCCTATAATGCCAGGATTTGGGAGGCAGCGACTAGAAGAATATATGAGTTTGAGGTCAGCCTGGACTATCTCACCCCCCTCAACAAAAACCACCCCAGAGCTCCATAGTAGTATCAATATCATTGAACATACAATATTTTACATAGCCCAGAGAAAAGTGTTTGAAATCTTCTACTTTAGTATATGTCACATAAGCTAACCTGAAATAAAGAGAAATGGCATACTGTGCAGTATCACGTGGTACACTGGAGAAACGTTAAGTGCCTCTAATCTAAGCAAAGATATTTATGAATACTTATGTTAGTAAGATGATAAACGGCTGACTAAGTTTCACAGGAGGCAGGAAGAAATGCTCACTGTTCACACACAGGTGTACGGAAGGAAGAAACTCCTACATTCCAATAATGGTCATGAGCAAGAGTTCATAACTACATCTCTGCCCCTGCCTGCTTTTATAAGTAAAGTTTATTGAGACACAGCTATTCTCATGTGTTTACACATTTTCCATGGCACCTTCTGTGCTGGGAGACAGAGATGAATGGTTGCAGCGGAGGTTAAGCTATGTGGACCATTACAGAGTTATAGCCCGCAAGAAAGCAATTTCTCAGAGCCTTACTTGTTTTTTGAGACCAGCCCAATCATATACTCAGTCCAGACAATGAAACTCAGAGGAACATCATAGACCATTTTTCCCCCAGGAAAATAAATGCTAATATACCAAGTATTAGCAAATCAAATTTAGCAATATGCAAAAAGAACAAAATGTCCCAGCCAAGTGGAGGTTATTCCAGAAATGCAGGATTTAATGTTAGAAAACAAATCAACAACTCTACATTAACAGACTAAAGAAAGATCATTTAAAAGAAGATTTTACCAGCAGGTATATGGAAAAAAATGCTCAGCATCTCTAAGCATCAGAGAAATGCAAACTGAAACCACCATGAGCTATCATCACACCCACTGGAAAAGCTATTATCAAAGATGAAAGATAATCAGAGTTGGAAAGATTGTGAGAAAAGATGACTCTTCCAAGCTGTTGGTGAGAATGTAAATTGGTATAGCCCTTATGGAAAACAGGCTACCACATGACCAACCCACTCCACTACTAGGGGCTATGAAGAGGAAATGAGGCCAGCAGGCTGGACAGAGATTCCCTGCTCACTGCAGCACTTCTCACAAGAGCCAATATATAGACTCAACCAAGTGTCCAGCCACAGATGAGGAGATAATGTGGCACACGTACAAAATGGAATCCTGTTTAGCTTTGAAAAGAAAAAAATCCTCACATTTGCAAAACAATTAACGTTGTATTAATTACTTTACCACTGCTGTGACAAAATAGCTAGCTGAAGGAGGAAGGGAGGGAGGGAGGTTTATTTTCAGTCAACAGTGGATCTTGGCACAGAAGGCACAGTGGAGGGAGCACAAGGCACCTGGTCACATTGCTATCACCATTATATTCAGAAAGCAGAATCAATGAGTACCGCTCTCTTCTTGCTTTCTCTACTTTATTCAGTCCAGGACCCGGCCATGGGATGTTGCTACCCATAGCCAGGGTTGGTCTTCCTACCTCAATCAAACCTCTGTGGAAACTCCCTCACAATACCTCCAAACGTATGCCTCCTTGGTGATTCTACATCCATCATATTGACAATCAAGATTGACTATCGCATGTCCGCTTTGTTAATTTGACACCCAAACACATCAGTTTTAAATCATACTACTGGTCTCTAAAGTTTCACTTTCATGTCCTATCAAAAATATAATTTACGTACTTCTAATATACAATGGCAAGGAGCAAATATTTCCATTTCAAAAGGGAGGAATGAGATAACAGGAAAGGGGGGTTGGGCCAAATCACAACTGAAACCCAGCAGGATGAACACCAAATTCTGCAGCACCATGTCTGATACCTGGGGCTCTGGGCATCACCAGAGCTCCAAAGGGTTTGTGTAGTCTTGCCCCTTCAGTTCTGCCAACTGCAACACATACAGCCTCTCTCTTCAACCATGCAACCATGCCTGCAGCTTTCTTTGGCAAATGGTCTCACGGTCTTGGGATGTCCACTGTTAACTCAATCTTCACCTTCGCAGACTCATACAATGGCCCCTCAGTGCCTCCTTGGAGGAGAATTTGAACGTAGCACACATCGCTGGCCTCGGTGACTTGTTGGAATCTTTGGTGCAAGCCTCCATGATGCCCCTCACTCTTGCTTCTTTCTCAGTACCACTGCCAAGCTCTGTAAGCTGCAGAGGCCTCCATGTGCCTTCAATGCTGGTCCTGGGCAGCTCCCCAGGCAGCCATTTTGGAGCAGAGAATCGCTCTGGTAGCATTTTCAGTTTAGACTCTCTCCTTTCAAATGAAACTGCATTTTCACAAGCTGGTGTGTCCTTGTGTGGGGTCTTATACTATGGGCACCTTTCCTATTCTCCCAGTGCAGTCCTTAATGATTACATTTACTTTCTCTGCTCCCACCTGATCCACACTCACACTCCTTTCCTTTCCAAAGTACATCGTTTCCATACTTTTCTGCTTTCTTTCAAGGTAGATGTGGGTAACAGCAGTGTGCAGAGGTCGTGCAACAGCCTGCACAGCATTCTCTCTTGAAAAATTTACTCCACCAAGTAAATTA